ACTCAGAACAGCTGGCCTGGCCCATCCCCTCCCCAGGTACCCAAGAAGAGCCAGGCCTTCATGATCACCAGGCTTTGCCCCTTTCTAGGGAGAGCAGGTGGGCAGGGAAGGGGCTTCAGGCATTTGCAGGCAGATGCAGCCAACAGTGTTCAGGCAGAAGCCATGACTCACCCAGAGAGAGGGAGTTAGTGAAGAACACAGAGAGGGGAGGAGGAGGCTGAGCTGGGGATCCTGGGGGCTCTGAGCCAGGTCCGCAGGCCTGCCCTGCGTGCAGAGGGAGGTGGCAGAGCCTCCTGGTGGGAGGGAAGGGGGCTCATGGCGCAGTGCATTCTAGAACAATATCGCCCTCTTCCCCATCGCCAGTGCCTGCTGGGATGAGACCTGATGCCACCGGAGCCCACACAGGGGCAGCCATGCCAGGCCCTCCCAGACCCCCCGGGCCGTGATGGCCCAGGGACCCCCTCAAGAAAATTGCCTCTGGTCCACAGCCCCAGCTGGAGAAAACGCCTCCTGATACCCTGACCCCAATTCTCTGCCACTTGGCCTCCATCTATCCCCCAAGCAAGCGTCCACCCTGACCCTCCCCCATAACTTCAATTCTCAGGACGGTGGGCAGCTTGATGACCGGATCCAGATGGGTTACATGTCGGGGGTGGGCGGGGTGACGTCAACCTCCCCACCCAGCCCCAAGCTCTGAGAGTTGGGTGAAAGAAGAGGCTCCCACCTCGACCAGGTGACAAGAGGGGGCGTCATCGGGGACCATTGCCCCAGGCTCAGTCCTCTCCCAAGGAGGTTAACCTGGGTGCCTTGGGGGCCCAGACCATGGGGCTACAGAAGACAGAGCTCAGCCCCTCTAGGCAAGGCCCACAGGTCTGTGTCCCTGGTGGGAGAACAAGGAGCCAGATGACAAAAACACCTACCACTCTTCACCCATCAGCCGCTGCTCCCCGCTCCAAGCACCCAGCCCTTGCCCACCGCTGGCCAAGCTCACATGTGGATTCTCATCACTCCCTGCCAGTCCAGGGAATGCCATTAGGGGGATCAGAAGGGGCACCTTCACCACCACAAGGCTGCATGGCTGGATGTCAGCCCCACTGCCCTCGTGGTCTGGCACCCACAGTCCAGGTGGCCCTGGCCTATCTGGCATCATTTTCACATTCTGGGCCCCGGCCTAAAAGCCTTGTCCGCAAGGGGTCAGGCTCAGGGTGGTTCTCGGTCCATCTCCATGGGCTGAAGTTGTGTGAATGGGAGAGTGCTGTCTCACCAGAGTCACCAGGATTCCAAGGAGAGCTCAGCCCACAGCACCACCCGGGGGAGTCAGGACAAAGGCCACCGAAACGAGGCTGCTCAGGGCCTGCAGCACTTCTCCAGCACTTGGTTCTAGGAAGGCCCAGCCTGGCCTTTGCCCAAGTCCTCAGGAATCACTGGTAGTGTGTGAGTGATGGGACACAGGTGACAGTGATGTCCCTGCCCTAGCTGGGAGCTGCCCCTGTGGGGGAGGTGGAGGGAGTGAGACAGAGGACTTGGACCGCTTCTGGCCACATCTGGACAACAGAGCACCTAGGCCAGCATGCTCACCCACAGGACACCTCCATGTGAATTAGAAAAGGCATCACTCGCCTGGGAGGAGGCAGTGGGGCCTTCAGACGCTTCTATGGCAGGAAACGTGGCTGACTCCCAGCCTTGAAGGCTGCCCACGGCTGCAGGCATCCATCACCCTCTCCTTCCCCTTGCAGACATGGACGAATGTCTGGACCCCAGAATCTGTAAAAGCCGCAGCAACTGTATCTACACTCATGGCAGCTACACCTGCACGTGCCCACCAGGATTTGAGCTGAACCCAGAGGACCCGAAGCTGTGCAAAGGTAGAGGCCCCGGGAGGACGCTGTGAGGCTGGACTGGATGGAGCTGGGGAAGGAGCCAATGCAGGTCCCGCAGCCCCAGGAGGCAGGAGAAGATTCTCAGGTCCCCTGCCAAGGCCCTGCCTAAGGATTCGCTTCCCCGAAAAGTCCTGCCACAGAGCAGGGCGGTGACAGGGCCTTCTGGGCCTGGGGTTTCCTTGTACCTCCGTGAGCACCCCCAGACCCTTCCCTTTCCTCATCTGTCACATGCAGCAGAGGGAGGTGTGACTTCTGGTTCCAAGAATGGAACCAAGGCCAGGGCCCAGGAGGGTGTAGGCAGAAGTCCTTGGTCAAGAAACCTAGTCCCTGTGACTCAGTTTCCCTTCTGGATTTGCCAACTATAAACTGGAGACCATGGTCCCTGTCATGTTCATCTTGTAGGGAGGCCACCGTAATGTGCTTTGAGGGTGAAGTTGAAGGTCACCAGGTGGTGGCATGTGTACTGACGGTGGGATCCTCAGGCAATGAGAAGTGGGGTCAGGGAGGGCCTGACGCTCTGGCTTTGTCCTCAGATGTGAATGAGTGTATCTTGGGGCAAAACCCATGCCACAAAACCACCCACTGCCTCAACAATGTGGGCAGCTATAAGTGCCGCTGCCGCTCTGGCTGGAAGCCAATTCCTGGGTCCCCCAATGGCCAAATCAACACCGTCTGTGAAGAAGGTTCAGAGTTCAGATCCCATATTTCCACAGACCTACAACTCAAGCCTTCTGATCACATATTCACGGGCACCCACACAAACCCAGCAGAATAAATGCTGGGCATACCCTGCTAGACAAGGCTTCCATTCTTTGAGACTAAATGGGAAAAGATCTGGGGGTCCTGCAGATGGAGCTGGGGTACCAAGGGGAAGGTTCCTGGGGGACCCCAGGCAGCAGCTAATTACTAACTGGGACAAAGGTATTTAATATCTCACAACCTGTACTTCTGGGGGGGCTTACCTGCTGTGGGTCAGGCCTCTGCACACTTCCCATAACCCCTGCGTCTGCCACTCAGGGATGTGCAGTCTGCAGGTGTCATCACATCCAACCAAGGCATGGGGGGTGGGGGGGGACTGAACACAGAAATGGGCACAGAGAGGAGAGGGGCCCAGATTCCTGAATAAACAAAGGACTACTCAGTGTGAAAGTAGGGCCTGACCCTAGACCCTGCCTCCAACACACACACACACACACACACACACACACACACTCACACACCTAATGACTGCTGTTCTGTCGCCTGCAGAGATCTCCTTCCCCACCTGGATCCCGCCCCCTGGAATCAAGAGCCAGGTGAGTGACTCCAGCCGGGACCAGAAGGCAAAGTCCCTCCACTCAGCCCACCGTCCACCCATTTCCCCACGCTCCCTGACCCATGCATGAGGCCCTCTAAGGCCTCATCTCCTTTCCCCAGAGTCTCTCTCGCTTCTTTGAAAGAGTCCAGGACCTGCGCGGAGACTTCAAGTCTGCCTTGGCCCAGGACACCATCCAGGTAAGGACAGGACCCAGGGGAGGCAGGTGGAGGTATCCTATAGAGACCCGAGGAAGCCTTGGTCTGGAAGGAGACCAACCCCAACACAATGGCGCCCTGCTCTGAGGCCCCGCTGTCCCAGGGTAGGTGGGAAGAGCAGAGCAAGTATTTGTACTCACTGTTAGACCCACGTACACCTACTAACACCTTTCCTCTTGTTCTGGTCACTGAGCTTGCATTGTCCTTGGTAGTCATGACCAGGGGTTGACCTCTGAGTGGCAGATTGCACTAGCAAAGAGTCTTCCTGAAGCTTCTCTGGCACAAGATCCACTGGTTCTGTGTCCCCATCCCCCCAGGACATCATACAGGAGGTGGATAATCTGCTGGAGACCCCGGGGGACCTGGATACTCTGCCCCATTCAGAGCAGCACTGTGTGGCCACTAACCTGCTGACTGGCCGGGAGCACGTCCTGAGAGAGCTGAGCAAGGCCCTGCCCAATGGGCCACTGACCTTCAGGACAGCTGCAGGAACAGGCAAGGAACCCTGCCTGCCCCCAGGCTCTGCTCTGCCTGCTCCTCACCTCATTCCTCTTCCCATCGCACTAGAGCTGAGTGTTCACACTTGTACCTCCCTGTTACTCTCATAGATATCTTAAGATAAAAGATGAAAAGAAAATGAAAAAAATTATTAATACTAAACATTTTCATTGTAATATTAATTATCAGCAGATGAAGTCCTATATAACAAAAGGCTAATATGCAAATAGACCAAACTGCAGAATGACTGGTTGCTATGACACACACTGACCACCAGGGGGCAGATGTTCAATGCAGGAGCTGCTCCCTGGTGGTCAGTGTGCTCCCACAGGGGGAGCGCCACTCAGCCAGAAGCCAGGCTCAAGGCTAGTGAGCGCTCTGACTGCCAGCTTAGCCATCAGTTGGATTTCCCCCCAAGGGCCACTAGACTGTGAGAGGGCACATGCCAGGGCTGAGGGAATGCCCCCGCAACCCCCCAGAGCACGAATTTTCATGCATTGGGCCTCTACTAATTATACTAAATAATTTAAGGTAAAATAGAAATGGCTTCAAAAGAAAACAAATTATTAAATTTGGAGGAATACAATGTAATATTATCTGATATTTAAGTGATTTGTTTTATTGAGATAAATTTCACATAACATAAAATCCACTATTTCAATCGAAGTGTACAATTCAGTGACATTTCATACATTCACAGAGTTGTACAACTATCACCTCTATTTATTTATTTTTTTAATGTGTTTTTGTTGATTTCAGAGAGAGGGAGAGAGAGAGATAGAAACATCAATGATGAGATAAACCAAAAAATCTATATTTGTATATGCATAGCCCATGGACATGAACAATAGGGTAGTGAAAAGAGTGGTGGGGTATGGGCTGGGAGGAGGGGGGTAAAGGAGGGGAAAATGGGACTGTAATACTATCAATAATAAAAAATATATATTTTTTAAAAAATGGCTATCTCCTGCATTTCCCCTACTGGGGATCTAGCCAGAAAGCTGGGCATGTGCCCTGATCCAGAATCTGTGATCTCCTGGTTCCTGGGTTGATGCTCAACCAATGAGACATACCGGCCAGGCCATCACCTCTATTTCTAAAGTGTTTTCATCATCCCAGAAGTGAACACTGTACCCACTAAGCAGTTACTTCTCATTCTCGCCCACTCCCGACCCCCAGCCCTTGGCAAGCATTTATCTGTTTTCTGTCTCTATGAATTAGCCAATTCTGTACATTTTATATAAATAGAATCATACAATACATGACCTTATAGTCTAGCTTCTTTCACCTAGCATACTGTTTTCAAGGTCATCCACACGGTAGCATATATCATATGGTTGAATTCTATTCCATTGCATGCATACACCACCTTTTGTTTATCCATTCATCCATTTATGGACATTGGATTGTTGCCACCCTTTGACTATTGTGAATAGAGTTACTATGATATTGGTGTGCAAGTTTCTGTTTGAATAACTATTTCAGTTCTTTGGGTCCATATGTAGGAGTCAAATTGCTGAGTGATATGCTAATTATATCTCCAACATTTAGGAATCACCAAACTATTTTTCCAAATGGCTGCACCATTGTACATATACTCCCTACCCTGAGCAATGTGCAAGGATGCCAACCTTCACATCCTCGGCAAAATGTGTTACTTCCATTTTGTTTTGCTTTTATTAAAGCTTTTCTAGAGTGTCAGGTGACATCTCATTAAGTTTTTGATTTGCATTTCCCTAATGACTAGTGATATTTAATATTTTTTTCATATGATTATTGAACATTTGTGTATTTTTTTTTCTGAGAAATGTCTGTTCAAGTCCTTTGCCTATTTTTAATTGCATTGCTTGGCTTTTTGTTGTTTTGTTTTAAGTGTTCTTTAATATTTGCTAGTGGACCCTTATGAGACATGTGATTTGCTAATATGTTTTCCCAAACTATAGATTCTTTTCACTTTCTTCATAGTCTATTTACTTTAATAAATATATGCATTAAATTTTGATAAGGCCCATTTTATTTATTTTTTTCTTTTCTTGTTTGTACATTTTATGTCATATCAAAGTACTGATTGCCAAATCCCAGGTCATGAAGATTTACTTCTGTGTTTTCTACTAACTTCTATTTTTTATTGTATTTTTAATGTTTTTATTGATTTTTTAGAGAGAGAGGAAGGAAGAGGGATAGAGAGAGAAACATCAATGAGAGAGAAACATCATTGATTGGCTGCCTTCTGCACACACACCACAGGGGATTGAGCCTGCAACCCGGGCATGTGCCCTGACTGGGAATCGAGCCAGGGGGCTTCTTGATTCCTGGGTCAAAGCTCAACTGCTGAGCTACATGGGCTGGGCCTGTTTTATTTTTAGCTCTTAAATGTAGGTCTTCGACGCTTTTTTACCTGATTTTTGTGTATTTTGTGAGGTATGGGTCCATCTTCCATTTTTTTCTTGTGCATAAACTATTCTTTCCCTCATTGAAGGGTATTGCTGAAAATTACTTGACATAAATAAATGCGTTTATTTCTAGACTCTCAATTTTATTTTGTTGGTTTATATGTCTACTCATATGGCAGTACCGTACTGCTCTGATTACTGAATAAGTTTTGAAATCAGGAAGTTTGAGTCCTCCAACTTTGTTTTTCATTTTCAATAGTGTTTGGGTATTGGGCCTCTTGCAATACCATATGAATTTTAGGATGAGCTTTTCCATTTTTGCAAAAAAGAAATGCTGTTGGAATATTGTTAATATGGCATTGCATCTGTAGATCACTTTTGAGAATATTGCCATGTTTAAAATATTGTCTTTCAATTCATAATCACAGGATACTTTTCAATTTATTTAGGGTTTTTAAATTTCTTTAGCCATATTTTATAGTCTTCAGTGGACAGGTCTTGAGCCTTCTTTGATAAAGTTATTCCTGTTATTTTGTTGAAGATTTTTGCATCGATGTTCATAAGCGTTAATGATCTATAGTTTTGTTTTCTTTTGATGTCTTTTTCTGGTTTTGTTTTTAGAGTAACTGTGGCCTCATAAAATTATTTAGTGTTCCTTTTCATTGTATTTTTTAAGAGTTTACAAGAATTTGTGTTAATTCTTCCTTAAATGGTTAGTCGAATTCGGGTCTCCACTTTTCATTTTGGAAAGTTGTGGGGTTTTTTAAATATATTTTATTGATTTCAGACAGGAAGGGAGAGGAGAGAGAGAAATATTAATGTTGAGAGAGAATCATTGATAGGCTGCCTCCTGCATGTCCCCTACTGAGGATCTAGCACCTGGGCATGTGCCCTTGACTGAAATAGGACCCAGGACCCTTAGCCCGCAAGCCGATGCTCTATCCACTGAACCAAACCAGTTAGGGCCATTTTAGAAAGTTTTAATTACAAATTCAATCTCCTTACTTGTGACAGGTCTGTTCAGACTCTAGTCCTTCAGGTACTTTTATAGGTCATGGCTTTGTAGGAATTTATTTCATTCAGGTTATATGATTTGTTGTTGAATAATTGCTCATAATTTCTCTTATAATCCTTTGTAAATTCAGATGATTGCTGTATATATATGTCATATACAAAATATGTGTATTATTCTAATATATACTAGAGATCCAGTGCACAAAATTCGTGCACAGATAGGGTCCCTAGGGGACCGGCAATCAGTGCCAATCAGGGCCTTCCCGCTGCTGGCCAGGGCCTTCCTTCATTTGGCGCCATCCCCTGGTGATCAGTGCACATCATACCAAGCGATAGGTCTCCCAGTCAAATTCCTGCGGGGACAATTTGCATATTAGGCATATATATATATACATATATATATATGCATTATTTGGTATACAAGTAACAATATTATAAATAAAATTTGGTATATAATGTAACATCATCATAATAAAAAGCTAATATGAAAATGGTCATCACACCGTCACGCTATCTCTCTGTAACACCAATTAGCAGGGACCTGAGGCTGCGTGTTACTAGGCCAGGGTTGGGGACATGAGGCTTCACCCCCCCCCCTCGACCCGGTGCTGGGGCTGGGAGACCTCAGGCCGAGCTCCCTGAGGCAGCACC